TAGGCCTGATCCATAACAACAAATCGTAATTAAACTTTATCTCAACAGTAAATGTCCTTCATGTGTCTGTGTGACTTTAGTGGTTCCTTGGTTACTAAGCTGTGTTTATTCCTAAACCTCCCATATGATGTATCACACTGGAGTAAAACTTGGCCTCATCTCAAGGTCTCAGCACACCAGGGTTGCCGTGGGAACTGCAGACAAAATCCTTAAAAATGACTCAGGAGTTCACGCCCTCCACATTCATACTGCTGTGTTACAGGAGGACAGGAGTCACAACATATATCTATGTAAAGAGTGGAGCAGCTTTCTTCGGTTAACAGAAACATGGAATCACTAAATTCATTTCATGCAGATATTTTCTAGTATTAGATATTGTCTAACATTTGGAGCCAATCCCAGCTGACGAGAGACGCAGGGGTGTGTTTAAAGATGGTGATTTAAAATGAAATGCTGCTGTGACATATTGAGTTCAAGTTCCCCACACACAGTTTGATTTCTTACATTTGTTAAACACCGATCAACACAAATCCAAAGACAGGTCACTCTGAGCAGGAACAGGGAAAGTTTATGATTTGGGTGAACTGACCCTTTAACACTGGAGTCTCAGTTATCATGGGAGAGCAATTAGCTTTTTTCTAAAATGTCAAAGAGGTAAAAGGGACAAACTTTTTACATATTAATACTAATCACACTTTAAATCCCACAGAGGGCTGGTGATTGTACAAATATGTTTATCATCACTAAAATCTGATCCGTCCACACGTCACATTTTTCTCTTATCAAGAGAAACAAACCTTACTCATGTCTGAAAGGTCAATTCTCATTTTCACAAAACCCCAAGTCAAACTCTAACTCAGTTAAACTCAAGTACATTTTTTAATTCCTCTGGCCTCCCCGCCTCCCTTGTTGTGCACAGCCTGTGCTGCTGTGTGGCTGCACTGTGTGAGAAGCTGTTAACACCGTTATTCCTAACGCAGATGAAGGGGCAGCTCGCTCACAGACCTGAAGCCTCTGAGTCATCCGGAGGAACCCGCAGCTGAGCGGCTGTCACATGACCGACGGCATTAACTCCTAACACCTGTGGGAAGGAACAAAATAGCCTCGCTGCTCGCAGCAGTTAAATATCGCGGGCGATAAGTCTTGTGACTTTGTGCTGATCGGTGGTCGCTCATTCTTACATGTGTTTTGCGTTATGTGATGTCGCATGAGACCCGAGAAGAGGATGAAAATGTGATTTGCAGTTTAAAGGTAGAATTCTGAGGAAAGATGCTACTGATGTCGCACCTCGAACATATTCTGGGTTCAATAATCCAGATTATCTGATGAGTTAATTTGGACCACCATTTTAAATCTGTCAGTCAAACAACTTTATGCATATGAGGTGTAGGATCTAACTCAGACAGTCCTGAACCATGTCCTCAGAACAACCACGTATTCAGCTTCACACTGCAAGCTGTTTTATATTGAGCCTAGTTTTCCCCTTCACAGAGTTACTGGTGTGATCAGAGTCTGGTTGTACTGGAGCCCTCGCTGTCGATTAGATTATTAGATTACAGAGAATTACATCAATATATTTTACCATAAGAAAGTCAGTGGAATCTGTTTCCCTGCCTCCAGCATGTTTCCATTTTTCTGCCTCACACAATCCCACAGGAGAAAAGCAGAATGTGTGTGTGTGTGTGTGTGTGTGTGTTTGCATGTGTGTTGGTGCGAGAGCATTCCTAAATGTGTTGCTGCACGTGGTCAGAGTGTGTTACCATGCATGTACATTGTGTGTGTGAGAGGTGCTGAGCTCTCTCCTGCTCGTTAGGGCCTCTGTGCTGGGAAAGCAACGGCTAATGAATCCTCATTGAGATATATTGCGCGTGCAAAAAGGCCGTCGTCCAAAAACCACTCCGCTGTCGCCCAGACAGCGTCAACTGGAAGCATATGGCAAGTATGTTCCTCTGTGTGTGTATGTATGTATGTGTGTGTGTGTCTGTGTGTGTGTGTTGCACACCTGACAATGTCATCTGATTCAGAGCTGAAGGAAAAAAGTACATTATCTTTAAAGACAAAAAAGGAGACATAAGTGTAATCTCCTAAATGTGAATGTATTTAATTAGAGATTTAAATCTAATGAGATCCATTTATGCTGCTTTTACATACGTATAAAAAGAGATACATGAATTTCAAACACCGTACCTTCACTTCCTAGATGTGTCTTTTCCATCCGCACAACCTCTGTGACTACAGGCAAATTTACATCTAATAGTAACATCTAATAGACGGCAACAGTTTCCACCAAACCTGTATAGGCTGCGAATGCGTGAGTTTGTGTGTTTGCGTGTGTTTTTTGTACACGCATGTGAAGGTGTGCGAGTGTGTGGGTTTCAGCACCGTCAGCAGAGCCACTCAGCAGCAGTGAAGAATGAAATGTGACGGCTCCGTGCGTAGATGCCTAAATCCAAACTCCATCTGCCTCTGTGGCCTGTGTGCACCCCTGACACACACACACACACACACACACACACACACA